GATACTATATCCATCTCTTCCTTGGAGTGGTTGTCCCAAAATGAGTTGGTATGTGCCGTACCAACCAACACAGTGACGATCAGCACCAGCAAGGAGACAACGATTCGTAAGTGCCAAGCTGTGGATGATGTGCTCCAAAAAGATGTGTTCATATGTCGTGAGCGCCAGCTGCCAGAGTGGACCCGGCGATGGGGTAGCCCGGTCAAAGACAGTGACAATACTCGTGACAAGCTCTGGTTGCGGCCGTTGTACTAAAAGGACATGAGCTGCAACAGGTCGTCCACGTTGTGGCGGTCTGGGCTGGACAATTACGAGCTCAGAAGGTGCTCCATTGATGAGCCTGTCCTGCCAGAGTTGACGAATGTTGCGTTCCCACATCACGAACTGGGAATTGAGCTGGATGTTACGAGGATGCCAGCAAACTCTGTGTGCAGGATCTTGTTGATCAACGAACCACGTTGTGACCTCAGCACTTGGCTCTTCGCCTTGCCAACTGAAGACAGTCCTGGTCCATTCCTCATGCAAATCCTGAATAACTTCCGACATGGCCTCAAGGCGGATGTCTTGTGGCACAAACTCAGGTGCTCGAGGATCCAAGACAAAATCATCAATGGAATTGGTGGGTTGAATTGGCTGTGGTACTTCTGCTCTCAAAGGCTCTGCGATGCCATAAGAGAAGGACTCCGATCTTCGTTTGACATGGAGTTCAATATGTTGGCCATTGTCTGCTCTCCATGGTTCTTGCGTGGAAAGCTGCTGCTGATTGTGTGTGGCATGGCAGGTCCACTGTCTTTCAAGGCATCTCACTTCTTGATCAGCAAACCATAGGAGTCTGTCAAAAGGCAACAAACTTGGCACGAGTTGTGCAAATCGATCAGGTGCTGGTCCTCCCTCAATTGTTAGGAGAATCCCCGCCTCAGCTGGGTGCTCGTGCTGAAGCAGCAGAAGATGACCGCCATGAACCGCTCCGACAGGTGTGGGATGAATGACTTGCATTCGAATTGGCCAGTGTGGGTGTTGCCGATCCCTCCAAACTTGGCGTAGAGCTGAATCCCACAACCTCACATTGGCTGGTAGTGCGGCCGTTCTGGGCGTCGAGCATCTTGGAAAGTCAAGCGCACTGAGGAACCACGTGTCAAAGTACATGATTGGCTCTTGATCCGGTCCTCTAGTCTGGAGTTGGGGTCGGTTCCAAAGATCATGTAGATGTCGAAGGTCTGGATCAATTTCTTCAGCGAAATCTCTTTGTGGACGCGGACGTCGTCTGGGTCTTCCGTCACAGATGTCCAAACGATTGGGCTGTGCAACGTGTTTGTCACCAATCTTGGTCTTGACAGGTCCACGCTTGAGTCCATGGATTTGAAGGAAGGTCATCTCATCGCTGTGAGCGCCGCAATGAAAGCGTCTTTCATCATCACCGATGAAGATCTTGATGTAGTCGCCATCCTCGATGATCATAGGTTCTTCCCGGTCATGGCTGATGGGAACATTATTGATCCACAGATGCGTCTTTTCGATGTGTCTGTTATAGACTTCCTCAAGATTCAATATGCGAAAGAGCGATGTCATGGTGGTTGTGTGTGGCAACCATTTTGCTAATCTGCGAAAGGCTCCCGGCAAGATCTCGTTCTTCTCAAAGATCTCAAGGTCGAGGAGCGTAATGCGCAGGAAAGTGATTGGACGTCTTTCGCCTTGTCGAAGAACTAAAAGACATTGGAGGTCAACCGCTACAAGATCCTCAGGACGTTCGAGTACTGCAAATGTATCCTCAATAGCGTCCTGATTGACAGCAGTGGCAATTCTTCGATAATACTCCTCATTCTGTTCCTCAGGCAAAAGGCAAGAGGCTGCAAGTCCATCCAGGGTGAACGCAACCGTTCTGATCCATGTATTTGTTCCGCTGGAGGGCTCTCTGCTGGTGGAACGTTGCATGGGGTCAGTAGCTGATGTAGAGGAACTCGAGGATGTGGGTGAGCGTCTGATGGGTCGTCTTGCCATCAAGGCATTGTCATCAGTCTCCTCCATGTTTCCATGCTGCTGAGGCTGGGCAAAGTCTTGCCATTGCTCCATTCGAGGTCTGACATAGACATTCCATTCTTCATCGTTGATGATCATGGGGACGCTGACGACCAGTCCTAATCCATCATGCATCCTGATTGGGCGTTCTCTGGGGAAGACATGCCGTCCTGCTCGTAGAACACAGGGCTGAAGACCCTGCCTCTCTGCTTCCCTGCATGCTTCAAAGGCCTCTGCACGGTGCAAAACTGTGGAGAAATCAGCCCAGGTGTCGACCACATGAGCAATCTCCATCATGCGTGGCGTGGGCAATTCATCGAACAGCGCAGTGGTTAAAATTGCATGACCACCTGGTTGAGCATGCTGAACGATGAGCACTATGCCAACAATACCCCGTGTAAGCGAAATTGGAGGCTCAGGTTGGACAAGGTAAACATTGAAGTCTGCCGCACGATCAAATAGATCCCCCCAAACATTCTTGAACTCCTCAATCCATGTCTCGTATCGACGTGTCAGGCGGATTGGGCGGTCGGCCGCCTGTCGAATACAGGTTTGATGGCTGAGGTAGTACGTGCTCAGGTAGATGATGGGGCCCTCTTCAAGTAATTCTGTCGCACCTTCATCCTGGAGTATATTCCACAAAGATTCGACCCATGCTGGAAGATGCCTGATCGGAATGCGTCCATGTCCTCCATGCGCAGTGGACTCATCAGACGAGCTGGGCGGATCTGGCAAGTTTGGGTTCTCTGTCGGGTCTGGCCTGTGCGAGATTGGTGCAGTCCTCGACAGAGTCAAAATTTGTTGTGAAGTTGTGTGGGCTTCAACAACCTTGCAATTGGATTGCGAGAGTGGGCAGCTCTTCGGCAACCATTCTCGTTGTGAAACATCATCAATGGAACTTCTGCTTGTAGTCCATGATGAGCTGAATTCAGGTCCAGAATGGACGTGGGCAATTGGGTCAAATGAAACTGTGAGACCCTTTTTGATTTTTCTGTGAGGCACGGAGAAACCCCATTCTCGCTTCTCACATTGTTGGATGAAGCTGGTCGGCTGCATTGTGAATGCTAGATGCATGGCGTCTTCACTGGCCTGCCAGGGTGACTTGTAGCAGCGCTCCTGGAGGATGGAATGCGACCATTGCAAACTGGCTACATCAGCAGCAATTGTAGAAGGAGGCCACGCTGCCCATCGATCAAAGTACTCAAGAGTCATCAATGATCGGGCACACCAAAAGGCTGCATTGAAGGCAATCCTGGCATTGCTACATCCGGTGGTGCTCCTTCTTTCTGACGAGGCCTCTTGGCCTTTCTCTCCTCTTCTTCCTCTTTCTCGGCCTGCTCGGAAAGTTTCTGTAGGCTTTCCGTCATATGTGCAAGACCCTCCAAGATCTTTGCTGCCGATTCCTTTGTCGATGTATCTTTCGCCTCCCCTTCTTCGTCGGAGATCACTGTTGCTGCCTCCTCTTTCGAGCTGAAATCTTCTTTTGCCATGTGGAGCTTCTCTTTCGCGTTCTTGATGCTCTCCTGATGGGCCTGTTCCTGACTCTGGAAGTGGTCGGTGTACTGTCTGAACCGTTCCAACGACATTGTCAGGAAGGCTCGCCATTGCGTCATCAGGTTGGTTCTGGCAAGAAGCGCAGTATCCAGCTCCTCTCGTGCCTTTGTCAGGGCATCTACAGCAGTGTACAGCGTCTTGGCATCCTTCTTTGATGCGGCTTTTGTCTCGTCCGCAACAAACTGCTGAAGCTCCGGCGTCAGAGTTTCCAAGTTGGCCTTCTTCAACAACGTGGAGACCTCCTTCAACTTTTGCTCCGCCGGCGATAGAGTTGTTGATGCCGATGACGTTGCTGCACCTGGTGGGAGGGGCATGCTCATCCAGGGTGGCTGTTGGCCATTGGGGCCAATTGGCGGTGGTGGCGGTGGCGCAAGGGTCTGCTGGGGAGGTCCATTGCGTCCCTTGTTTTTCCCTTTGCCTCGGCCACGATTCTTCTTCGGTTGTTGCCGTGGGCTCTGGTCTCCTCCATAAGGATCTCCCCAAGGCTGATGGTCTGGTGCCGTCCAGTACGTCCTTCTTGATGCTGACCTCGATTGCTGCTTCCTGGACTGGGGATACACAATGCAGTCTTGCCAGGCAGAGCCACATAGGTCGCAGAACCATGCATTCTTTGCGCGAAGCTTTTTGCAATGTTCACACATCCATCCAGAATTGTCCTGTTTTTGACTCGCCATTGCAATATGTATGCGGCGTAGTAAGGCAGGATCTCGGCTGTGATGGTCCGATAGTGTGTTTGCTAGCACACGCAACTGGTCGGCAGTCAGGATGCACAGTCCAGAACGATGTAGATGCCACCTGAATCTGGCCAGTGCTCTTTTTCTCCGTGCCGATCTGCGCTTCGAAGGAGTAATGTTGGCTGCCACCAAGATGATCAGAAGGAAGATCCAAAAGGAATTTACCCTCGGTGCCCAAGATGATATTGAAGACAAGGTAGATCCAGCACCAGGTCATACACAACCAAAAAGGGCACCAGCTGCAAGCCCGAGCTTCTCCAGGAAGGACAGGAAGCAGCGAGCGAAGGTGATGCAGCCCTGCACTGTGGCTGCAGAGCACAAGGATGTAGGCCGCCAGCAGCACGGCAAGCTGATGGCGACCCGCGGGTTGTAGTCACAAGACCCGCTAAGTTTGGCGGCTGGTCGTGGGCTCACTCAGCCGAAACCTTCATATATATATATATACATATATATATATACATATATATATATATATATATATATACCAGCACCATGGATCCTATGGGATAACCCGGCCTGGTAAACATACAAAAAGCTATTGAAAATGACCATAGAATCTATAGAAATGGTGGATTTACCCATAAAACTAGCATGGTGATTTTCCATAGTGAACCGTTAGTTTAATTAGTTTACCAGAGGGTATAGAACCCAACACAGCAATATTTTTAAAGACTTCACGGGGCATGGTGTCCGCGCATGAGCGTCTCAACGTCCAGAGCGCTTGCAGGTTGATCCATTCTGAGTTCGACGACCTCATGTTGCGTTGCGCTGGGTGGAAAGGGCACGACCATTGGATTAGTCAATATATCAAAGTGGCAACAGACTATATCAATGGGATAATGGATATATTGACTATATATATATATATATTAATCAATAGTATATCCATTGATATATATAGACTATATAAATATTGACCCAATGGATATATCATCCAGACTATATATATATATATATCAATGTGTCATGGATGATCATGGATAACTGGATAATCATTGGGATGAACATTGATGGAAACTTTCAGCAATTTACCTTTGAGCCATCTCTCCAGGAAAGAGGGCCTGTGAAATCCACGAAAATATCGAACGGCCAAGTTCTAGGTCCTACCCTACTGGTACTCTCAAGGTAGAAAGCGAAGGAACTATAGGAAATACTTTACATATTTGTACAGTATAGCTGGAGATAGGTTAATTCAGAGGGCAAGTGGTACATGTGGTACAGTAATAATCAAAAGTTGACATATTATATTAAATGTTCATTCATTTCCCTAGCACAATCGGTAAACTCATCCATCCACCCGATCCGATCGTTTCCAAGGATTCGACTTGCTCAACGAACTCATCAAAAGACAACCCCTCCTGGATGGCAGTGTCACTGGTCCCAAAATCCAGGGGGGATTTTAGGTCCAGTTAATCAAATTATTCAACAGTTACCATCTGGTTATGACTAACATAGCCATGGTATAGATGGCCCATTTTTAGATGGTTTACCGATTATAAATGGTGATTTTCCAAGGCTATGTTAAATAACCAGAGGGTAATATATCTAACCCCCAAAAAATGTTTCCTTCACTTTCCCTTGATTCATGATTCAAAACTTTCCAGAAGTGACATTGTGAATTCTTGGCAACCTAATCAGAGCTGCGGATAAGAGGAGGAGTTTAGGACTCTCACGTCATTTCATATTTCTCTGCATGTGTAACATGTGACTTGCCGCTCAAACAAAGCTCACAGGTTGGGTTGAAAAGTCAACGAATCCTCATTGATATTACATGAATTAACATGATATGACATGATATAATATGATATAACTGTAAGTTTTATTTTGTATTTGCAACAGGAACTTGTATCAGTTCCACTAAAACAAGGTTTCACCCAAGAGTTTGAGTGCTGGCTTGGTTTGTTTTGTGACCCTAGGATTCAACATGTCGCAACCGACACTTGATCACGGGCTATGCCAATCGCATCTGTCTGAAAACGGGCCAGAAATCCATGAGATTGCCATTTCTACAATCGTTTATCATGGAAATTATGATAAACCACTGGATTTCGCAGTCGAAAGTTTAAAACATCAGAGAAACCCAACCATCACTAAGCCTGGCGGGGTCGCGCTCAGTGCCCTGTCCTTGGTCTTTTGCTCCGCATCTTCATTCTCTGCAGCCTCAACCCACGCCATAGGCGAGCTTTGGCAGAGAGCTGCGGAAGTGTTACAGTAGATATGTCGAAAAGTCGATAGAACCTGGAACCAGACTTCTTTTTCCTCCAGCCAGTGAGAAGCGTGTGCCGTAATTGAATATATTTGATTGTAATTCCCTATGGATCCTTCTTGGCAAACCCACGGGAGGTTGCTACTTTCAATCTTATTTCCAAGTATACGCATGACAATTCAAAACATGCTTGTGCATGTGTGAATTTGAGTAACTGACATATCCTTTGCAGATCATACCCTTTGCTGATCCCATCAAATCAAATCTACATCCAATGCATTCACACCGGCACTCTTAAAATCACACATATCAGCCGATCCCAAATATTACCATTTATCCCAAATATAATACAGTAAAGATAATATCCAATATCATCCCATATATCCAGTGTGTATATATATATATATTATGTAAATAAATATTTTTTGTATTTATATATGTATGTATATATATGTATATATATATATATACATCGCGACGGATTCGAAACTGCGCGAGCGTTTTGAGAGTTTGCTTTTTTGGGCCATCAGAATCCTCTACAATTTACAATATAAACTGCTGTTCCGCAATCTTGTGACATCTCAATTTTGGAGAAAAAACGGGGTCTCAAAATCCATTGCATTGTGACCAACCCTGTAAATACCACGTGTATCAGACGTGGATTCGACTATTTTTTTCCACACCCATCGCCGGCTTAGCGATCCATCAACCTGGAAGCCGTCTTCGACAGCAAGTTGCCAGTGTGGCACTCATAGCGCCATTGCTAGCAAGGCAGGTACAGCATGACATCTTTGTTATGCCCTGCTTTTGTCTGCAAATTGCTAGGCACAATTTTTTGGCCAAATTCCAAAGAGAGTCAATCTTCCCTGTGTGCACTTGGAGTACACCCAGCCGGCCACGAGTCACAAGTTGGCAACGTAGCATCAAGAGCGTGGTAACAAGAGCGTTATTACCCCCACCCCACCCCAACTCCAAAAAAACCGTTTTTACTCGTACGGAAATAGAGCCGTAGGCATATATATATTTATATAAAAATATATGTATATGTATATATATATGTATATATAAGTATATACAATTATACATATATATATACATATATATATATATATACATATATATACATATATATATATACATATATATATACACATACATATATATATATACATATATATATATACACATACATATATATATATATACATACATATATGTGTATGTATATGTATATATATATATAATTATATACATATAAAATCCAATCTTGTTTCCAGCTCCCCGCAATTCCTCAAACTCAATCCACCACATCCACACGGCGCACTTGCTGCTGATCCGCCATAGCCCCCGCAGAAAGGGCCACCGCACGTTGGCACCGTTGTTCTTCCGCCCGAAAAGGCTCTCCTGCATCTGCTTGAGCCTCTCCTGGAAGCTAGAATTTTCCGTTGGGCCCCCAGATGTATCAATCCCATAATCTCATAGTGAATAGATGTATTAGTGAATATCTCGAATAGTGAATCAGGCATTTTTTTGGGGAGACTATTTATCTAAACTTTCAACTGGTTCCTATGACTTGGCAACATGTTTTCTCATTCAGTGAGCAATAACCAGGGTTTCACGGTTTCACGTGGGACTGTCTTTTTATTACGCATATTAGAATGGATTAGATGATCTATACACATCTATAGAGCTGCCAAATGGGATGGTCGCCACCCTGCCGTGCCTCCATCATGCTTTCTTCAACTCCCAACCTGAAGAAAAAAACTCCGCCAAGTGGGAGGATGAATGCACGTAATGGAGAGGATAGGATGATAACTACTACATAACTACATAACTACATAACTACATAACTACATAACTACATAACTACATAACTACATAACTACATATCACTACTACTACTACTACTACTACTACTACTACATAACATGGATAGGATGGCAATTACAACATAGATTAAGATGTAAATATCTGCAATTGTCCTATATAGTGGTAGGATAATCAAATTATGGAGGAACAAATAAACAATCCTCAGGATGAACTTGGGCACACTGGGAATTCAAACACACTGTCATTTATTGGGGACACCAAATTGAGAATGTCAACGTCTTTTGGTTTGCCCATTTTCCAGACAACGGCAATCCTTTGATTCTAGTTCCGACTGGAATAGACAATCCTTTTTCAAGATTCCTTTGCCTGTGGAAAGACATCTCCATGACCAAAGGTTTTTGATCCACCTCCAACGTGGTGGGTCGTACCACAGTGAAACTGTAGTGGTTGCTATCTGAGGTCTGGACTTCAGCAAAGCCGCTTGGACCTTCTTGTTGGTTGCTATCTGGCTCCATTCTTCCTGGCAGTGCAGTCATAATGCTGCTCTCCATTCGGACAAGTGTGCATACTTTTTATTAGGATTGAGCAGACTTGAACAGTGGCAAAGATTGAGCGAAACCAAAATATTTTGCTATATATCAATGATTATCAATGTATAATACAGTACTGTTTGGTATTGAAACCTGCGCATTTGGGGTACCTCATTTGAATCCATGCCACACATCTCCATCGTCTAACTTTAAAATTTCTGAGTGTGCTTTGTTACCGATATCGTTGCTGTTGGTTCTCCCCTATATTCACTTGACATAATGATTATCTATACATTTATACACATTTATATATTCATATTCCCTTATATTCTTAAACACATATTTAACCATATTTACCCTATATTCCACTTAACATTCGGAAAACGTTAGTAATACCACATATGACCAATAGATTTGTAGGGACCATATAATCCATAGAGAATATGTTCTCTCTGCATAGCCCTCCGTCATCCTCCCAGTGTTGAGGTCCGGACCTCATTGATGAGACCATCCTGTGACTCATCCATCGCTTGGAAGGCATCCACCAAGCAGGTCTGCAGATGGTCGCACCAGTGGACAAAATTGTTTGCAGTTATTGCCATATAAATCCATGTAAAAAATAAAAAATCCACATAAATCTATATAAATCCATATAAATCTACAGTATATAAATCCATATAAATCCAAAAATTGTCCACATAAATCCGAAAACAAGCTCCGAAAATGAATGATACTGATAAGAATAGATACTCAATCATTTGGGATTGTCTAAGAATGGCATGTATACAGCCCAGAATTCCAATTCTAATGGAAACAATGGTGGTCTTTTCTGAAGTAAGCATGTACCATGTTCAGACAAACGCATTTAGCTCTCTCTACCTCTATCTCTCTCTCTCTCTCTCTTTGCATATATATATATGGGGTTCGCCCCCCTCTCATGTATATTTAACTTTCTTAATCACCAATCATTGGGGAATAGACATCAATGGGACAGAATAGTCAGAAGATTCCATGTTTTAGGCACACTGAATGTTGAACCGTCACTTATACTCTGCAAACTAGAAATGACCACGTCATGCATGGACGTTGCTGGTCAAGCGGTGACTGTCATCAAAGCTTATTTTTTGAGCCACTAGCCATCTAGATTTTGAATGGTTTTGAGCATGTTCCCCACCTGTTCCAGCTTCATATTGTTTTGGTCTGAAAAGGCTATATCCGGTCCCATGGTATCCTGTGCCTGAATCCAACGGACAGAGTTTGAATCAATTTGACATACTAAAAGTGACTCAAAGTATGCTCCAGGTATGGCCCTGTAGAAAATGTAGATCTAGATCGGTGTGCCAAAACATCTCCATACCATGGGTCTTTTCGCAAAATGAGCGTCATGGCTCCAGCTGAAATCAGAGGAGATGGGTAGCCTTCCGTTCACCCCACAATAGCAAATGGATGTTCATCCCCTTAAATCTGATATCGATTTCGATAGGTTTCGATAGGTTTCGATCCATCCCCAATCCATGATTTCCCATGATGTATCATGTTGTGTATCCCCAGAAAAAATCCCCATGAAAAAATCCCACCGAATCTGGTTGGCGGTATACCTACCCCTCTGAAAAATGATGGAGTTCGTCAGTTGGGGTGATGACATTCCCAATATATGATATATATGGAACAAAAAAATGTTCCAAACCACCAACCAGCTATGATTTCCCATTGAATCCTCGTACCATCTCGTACCTATTACATGATCCCATCGATCGGCTCAACTCTTCGCCGGAAACAGCCAGGCCTTCAATTCGGCCAACTGTCGCCTATGCGGATGGGCAGATTGTTCTATTCTCAAACAAATGTAAGTCTTTGATAACCATATACATATACATGAGCACGCCCCGCCATATCTATGTATATACACAATGTGCAAGACATATACACATGAATACAGCAATTTGAAATGGATCCAAAAATGCAGTTCGAAAGGATTCCTAATGTCTTTTGGATATCAAAACCAAAGGGTATAGTGGGGTGAGCCGAGTGTGACCATGCTCCAATTCTGGATGACACCAAAATTGACAATAAGAGTTGTGTGTGGGGTTTGAATCATGACCCATCTTATCAAATCAAAAATCTGCACAGCAATCCCAGTCTTATAACCACTTTGAGGCTATTGCCCACTGACTGCCCTTCATCAACAGGAACCCCCCACAAGATACTTGCAGTTGCATACCCTTCAACAAGTATAATTAGTACAGTATTAGCCACTAATCTTCACTTCTTATCCCCGGCCCCAAATTTCAAACTCTCCCTAGAAACCCTGGTTTAGGATTGCATTGTTTGGTCATATGTCTCCATTTCAAGATGACTAAACCCTTCTAAATCATGGGATGCCGGTCATTTTCCAATACCAAGATTCGGTCATTTTCCAATACCAAAAAACGGTCATTTTTCAACACAACTCCGTAAAATCAAGCGCGGAATTCTCACCGCCGCCAAGATTCTGCGTAAGGCGGACGAAAAAAGAAGGGATGCTGGCTCTTTTGGGACTCTTACACACATCTCGGCGCACACACACACACATTTTTACATTTATATGCTATTTATTTTTTCATTGGATATATGGAATAATGCTTACGTATAGTTCATGTAAGGTTTTTTGAAACTGTTTCGGGTTGGTTTACAGTTTCAATTACGGTTGGTTAAGAGTTTATTCAGGATTGGTTTGAAGTTAATTTAAGATTGGTTCATGATCTATCTAGAGTTGGTTTAGGACCTATTTAGGGTTGGTTTTAGGTTTTATTTCGGTTTGGTTTAGGTTCTGTGTAGAGTTGGTGTAAGACCTACTCAGGGTTGGTTTGAAGTTTATTTTAGCGTTGGTTTAGGATTTCTTTAGGCATGGTTTACATCTATTTAGGGTTGGTGAGGGGTTTATTTAGGCTTGGTTTAACAAAAATTTGGGGTTGGTTTAGGATCTATTTAGGGCTGGTTCAGGGTTTATTTAGGATTAGTTTCAGATTTATAGGTAATGCTTAGGGTTTACTTAGAGTTGCTTTAGTTTTTTTTTTGGCTTTGTTTAGGGTTCATTTAGGGCTGATTTAGGGGTTATGTCCATGTCTATGTATCATATAATGATGTTTCTGAGGGTTTATTTACGGTATGAGAAACAAAAGAAAAGCAGGGAAAAGCAGAGAAGCAGGAAACAGAAAAAAGCAGAAAGCAGAGAAGCAAAGAAGCTGGAAAAGCAGAAAAGCAGGGAAACGCAGAAAAGCGGAGAAGGAGAGAAGCAAAGAAGCAGAAAAGCAGGAAAACGCAGAAAAGCAAGCCAGCAGGGAAAAGCGGAGAAGCAAATAAGCAGGGAAAACCAGAGAAGCAGAGAAGCTGGGAACCAGAAATCCAGGAAAAAAATCAAAACGGAAGAAAACAACAAAAACCAACCCTCCATTAGTTGCTGGTATTTCGGGTGTGTTTAAAGTTTTCAGTGGTTTGTTGAAGGTTTATTTGCGGTTTATTTAAGGTCGCTTTAGGGTTTATTTAGGGTTGGTGGAAAATCTATTGAGGGACAGTTTCTGGTTCATTTAGTGGTGATTTTGGTGATTTACGGTTTATTTTGAATTGGTTTAGAGTTTACTTAGGGTTGGTTTAAGGCTTACTTAGGATTCGTATAGTGTTTATTTATGATTGGTTCAAGTCTGATTTAGGGTTGGTTTAGGGTTCATTTACGGTTAGTTTGGGGTTATTTGGAGTTGGTCTATGTCTGATTTAGCGTTGGTCTAGGGTTGCTTTGGGATTTGTTTGGGGTTGTCAGAATTGGTTTTGGGTTGGTGTAGAGTTTCTTTAGGATTTATGTAATTACAACTCATTTCCGGCGTATTTAAGGTTTATTCCGCAAAGCTATATACACAATGTAGAAACTAATGATCTTAACAAGCCCAACCAAGAACCTCCGGAAACGAAGCAACACAAACACTGCGGAAACCTACGGGGTCACATTCAAAACAAAAACAAGAAACTCCGAAAGCAAGAAAGCCGGAAACCTAGCAAACCAAGAGACCCAGAAACCAAGAAACCAGGGGAACAGAAAGTGGGAACCATGGCGCGTTGCAAAATGAAGGCAGTGGCTGCCACGTGAAATGTAGACACGAAGTAACAGCCCTGGTGCATTGAGAAATGACCCCCGCAGGGTTCAAAAATGACCTATATAAATACCGCACTGTAAAATGACAATTTTCTCGCGTTGAGAAATGACCCCCCTTCCTCTAAATCACAAGTTTTTGATGATTACCCTCTAGTAATTCAACATAGCTACAAGATGCTACAAGTTTGGTTTTTCGATGTTTTTCGATGGTCCACTTACCCTCTGGTAAACTAACATAACTATGGAAAAGCACCATGTTTAATGGGAAAATCCACTATAAATGGCCATTTTCAATAGCTATGTTAGTCATTACCAGAGGGTAGGTGTATGAGTGGCCCTTTTAAAAGTGGTGACTTTCGCCATGACTTAGCCCCGCACGCTTCGGCTTCGCCCTGCGCGCTATCTTCGATCACTTGACAGAGCACACCTGGGACTTGGCCGCGGTGGCCCCGTGGGAGATTTCACCAAAAAAATGTTGAGAACCATGATACTATTGTCATATTATTAATGGTGATTATGATGATGATGATGATGGTGATGATGATGATGATTATTATTATTAATTATTATATCAAATTTTGATTATATGATTATATAATGTCATTTCACCATTTTTGAAGACATGATATTATTTCATATTTTCATATTATTATATCATATTATCACAAATTATCTATAGATATCTATAGATTGTGAAAAACTTCTTTGGGAAGCTTGGCCGCTTGGCCAAAAGTGTTGAGCAGCGGCAAACCCTCAGAATTGAGTGTGCATCTTGGATGGTGATCAAAATGGTAGCTTAAGATGGAGAATAAAATAAAATAAATTGATATTCTTGTTCCACTTCCATTCCCAGAGCAAGACCAGCTTGGTTCTGGTTCGCCACCATCAACCTCCCAGTTTTCGATGTTTTTCTGAGAGGCCCGGCCAATGAGCATGTTCAGCAGAGTCATCCCAGAGATCACAATGAACCTGAGATGACAGTAGACACTGTAGACCTCATTGGATCAGCTCTCAACTTGGCTTTACCCTTTCAACTTCCATCAACTGGAGTAGGTTCATGGACACTTCTGAACCCAAAATCCACATCTGGTTGGTGGTTTCAACCCCTCTAAAACATATTAGTCGGTTGGGAGTATTATTCCCATATAAATATAAATATATATATATAATATATGGAAAAACATGTTCCAAACCACCAACCAAACATCTTCTCTCATGCCTTCTGGGATATTTTGGGACACCAGAACCCATCTTCCGTCGTCTCATCTAAGCCACACCATGAAGGCCCACATCAACGCTAAACTCTCCTGCGCCAAATTGGAGTCGAAGCAACGGACATCTGAGTTCGGTGACCGGTGTTCCTGCGAAGTCTACCTCTTGATGGGTTTTCTTGGCAGCTGTTCACATCTTGGTGAAACAATCATCTATCTAATATATACATCTTGTATATATATATATCTTATGATATATATATATATATCATCTAATATATACATACATTTGGACCATGTATAGAACCATTAGTATAACCCATCAAAAAATCATCAACCAACAGGGCTTCATGGCACACAGCCCTGCCTTTTGGATCTCCGTCAAGGTGAAGACCAGGTTGTCCACCAAGACACCGTTGGTGAAGAGCGTCATCATGGAGGAACCTCGACTGGATTAAATGAGAGCCACATATCAGTGGACTATGAGATGCTATAGTTATGTTTGTTGTTATAAGATGGCTATTTAGTGGGTAATGCATGGTAATGCACATAGAAAAAATAAGGTTTTATATCCCACTAATCTAACTGGGTTATAATATGGCTGTTACCCACTTAGCAACTGAGATGCATGTCCCTTATCATGGACATCACCTAGGGATACCATGGGTTTTTCCCAGGAAAACGATCCTTATGGGATGCTGGATCCCCACTGATGCAGGATTTACATCTCACTACTTGTATACTTATGAGTCATAAGGTACAAGATTGTCGGAAGATTGAGCCCGTTGACAAAGTAGACATCAGCAAAGATATCAAGATTTCACGGAGTATATCCTGATTGGACTCCATAAAACTGCAACCCAATCTTTTTCTGATCATTGCTATGGCGTCATTTCTCTGGGTAAATGATGGTAAATGTTCATATGTCACTCATCTGAATAGTTTCTCCCATAGATACCATCTGGTTATGACTAACATAGCCATGGAAAATCACCATTTTCAATTGGTAAACCATCTATAAATGGGCCATTTTCCATGGCTATGTTAAATAACCAGAGGGTAAACCAATCATAAACCAGTGACGTCGCAGTGCGGCCGTGGCTAAAGCCATGATTACTGGGGCTCCTGTCCCATATCACCAAAGAGCTCCTTGGCCGTTGGGTCCTCTACGCCCTCAGTGTTGCTGCTGCGTTGACAATACAGTATCGGACACAGTATCGGTCATGGTCATCCATCCCATATAAAAAGAAAAAAACAAAAACAAAATCCAGAATAGGTATATATATATGGGTTGATACTCTATGAAACAATAGATACATAGCCATATATATATAATATCTCAAACAATAGCCTATGAAACATGGATTGATGACCATCCAACAATGACTATGGGTTTCAGCACACCATGTAACTTGACCAATTTGACGTACGACAACATAGGTCCTGTGTTTATTCCGTTGAGATGAACGTTGGCCCCATGGAAGATACATTCAAAATGATAGGGTTGGATGAACATGATATATCAATGATGATCATTTGTGGATCATTTTGATACATCTAAAAAAAATCGACCAAGTGGAAGTTGGATGAAGTTGGCTAAATCCCTTGTGTTTATAACTTGAAATCTCATGAAATCTCCTGGTCTTTTGTAGCCAGTAGCCAAGGATACTCTTTTTCAATTCACATGGGAACCATTGGGAACCCACCTCCGGAGGGTCATCATTATTTTCACTACTTGACTTGGACATACTTAGGCAATAAAGGTCCAACGATCCGACAGGTGCAACCCTTTTGACAACTTTCAATCAACAGAGTGCTTGCTACTGAGCACAGGACTGCTGGGCGTTCATAATCATACTGTGCAATCTGGCTCGTGAACCTGTTTGCGGTGCCGCAGTATCACATGCAGGGGTTGCTGCCATTGGGAAATACACCATGTTCTGCTTGGTGGCTAGAAAGATGAGTTCATGTTGATCTTTCAAGTTTAAAGTGAAGATAAGAAAACAATAGAAAACAAGTCTAAGTGAACAGGAACGGGAACATATTCTAATTCATCATCCGGCATTCCTCTTCCTCTCATTCAATTGCTTTGATCACCGAGAATTTCAGCAGCGCACCGGTGAGTTGACAGTTGAGCATCCCCGCACGATGGCGAAAACGTACGTGACCACGACCATGAAAAGGAGGATGAAAACCACAGACTGCATGGCTCTCACCATTCCCCTTAGTGCAGCAGCTTCGTTGACATGGCTGTGATGCTATGCATGTCTATACGACGATGAATTCATCATCTATGTTGGAATATCATGAATATCTGATAGATATGGATTTTTCTGCCCCCACAATTCATGTAAGAAAAGGTTTCATCCATGCCCACATCATCAAAACTCTGCATCTTTGTGAGTTCCTCTCGAGCTCTGGGTGTTCGAACTTCACCAAGGTCAAGAGTTCTGGGAAAAAACCTGCAGTGCGAGGGTCGGGTAAAGGCTGGATCTATCCATGGGGAATACCTTCGCCCCAGTTTGTAGCAGTTTTCATGTGGAAAACAATGGAAAACATATGAACATGGGATAGTGATGATTGCCCAGTGGAATGGCAGGGTAGATCAGGGTAGCCTATTTTCCGACAATCCCAAGTGAGATCAGAATCTAGTCACAGGGTGATGAAAACACAGCTCAACCATGGTCCGAGCAGATTTAGGTGATTTAGTCATGGTGGTAATTCACTAAAATCACTGCTCACCATATACCATCACAACACTCACCCACTGCCAAAATGTACTGAAGATACCAGTGCAACCCTCTGGTAATCTAACATTACATAGCTATTGGAGAATGACCTGTCGTAGATCATTTACGTACAATGGTGGTTCTCCACCGCAAACTGCCAGACAGTCCATGAGAATCCATTGTAGTGTGGGAAACCCAATGCCATAAACCATTTTGGGAATGGTTTATACTTTATAATTACCCTCTGGTAAACTAACATAACTAATTATTGAAAATCACCATTTTTAATGGGTAAATCCACTATAAATCACAATTTTCAATAGCTATGTTAGTTTACCGGAGGGTACCACCATGGAAAATGGCCCATTTATAGATGGTTTACCGGTTTACCTATTATAAATGGTGATTTTCCATGGCTATGTTAATTAACTACCCATCAATTAAGTGGTGATAAAATGGGTGCCCCGGACGCATCAATCGTGCGACCCTCGTGAGACGAAGGAGCCTCAGGAGCCTGACATCCAGCAGGGACAGATCTGCGGTGAGTTTTTTCGAGATGAGAAGCGTTGCGAATTTCAAGCTGTATCCCATAGGATCCATGTATGGTATATATGCTAACATTGGGGGTATATTGATGGTAAATGTTACCATATATAGCATACATGGATCCTATGAGTATGGGAATATCACCAATCTTTGGGTTGGGTACTGTGGTTTAATTGATGTTTAATGGGCATCTAAATCCATAAAGTTGCGATTTTCCATGAATATATGAATGTTCCAAAACCATACAAAACCTCACTCTCTTGGGTCAAATATGTCTGCATTCTTTCCAAACACAGTGTTCCAACAAACAGTGTGACCATTGGCAGCTGTTTGGTATATTCCCACAAATGGCAAGTGGAGGATCATTCCCCAGTGGTTAAACATGGTTAAACTATTTCCAGTACAGATCCCATTAAATATGAATTGAAGGTAGTTAAACTGTATGTATTAAATCCTTTCAATTTGACATGACCCCTCCGACTGGAAATGGGCTCCCACCCAGGCATTCTTTTTCTAAAAATGTCAACCCAGCGCCTGAAGCTGCTGAAGTTGTTCAAAACTCCGCCGCCGTCATTGGCGCCACCTGCAATCCCATCATCTTTGAAACCACCAACCAATCGCCCCAAACTGTGGATGTCCCAATTTGGGTTGGATCATGTTGGATCCATCTCCTACTATTGGTTTGATATTTGAAACGACCAAGCGAACTTCAAGGTCCTGGCAAATTAGAGTGCCACACTTGAATTTTTGTGCACGCAAAGGTCTGTGACTTTCCAATATGATACAGTAACCTTGCTTCTGTAGGCTTCTTTTCACCTTTTGAAGTTGTCCTTTTTCCCCTCTTTGTTGATGTTCTCTGGTTGTATCCCCATATCAATGACATGCAAACACGTAGCCTCCGGTGTCATCTCTCAGGTGGCTTGCTGGAAAATCAACCAGCTTCAGCCAGGTATAGATGATTTTCCCAGCTCTAAACCTCCATTTATACCTTGGTTATTTGGGTATAGATGATTTTCCCAACTAAATGTATAGATGTTTGGGGATATTATTTTTTGCCATGGATACCATAACACCGGGCTACCCGGAGATGGTATCCCCGGCATGCAACTTGGCACCTGAAGCCAGGTCAATCAGTGTGATGACCCAGGTCTCCAACCTCGGAGGTTTTGGGGCACCAATGATTTTTCTGGAATCAACTGGATTGGCTGAATGTTTCTTGAGTGTAGGTTTGCTACATTTGGATACATTTGGATACATTTGGTGGAGTTAGTAGTGACATAAGGCAGATTTCTAGTCTTGTAGCTGGATTTCTGTTCCATGATGTTCCATGGATTTCTTGAACTGAGTGTTGACTAAAAGATACTAAGAGGGGCCAAAAAAAGCTGTCTCTGACCAGAAGAGAATCAGGTGCACTTGGATACCGTGGGTCAATGATGGTCAATGTCTATGCATTTCGCCATCTTTTCGCTGCGAAATCTGCACGATATCCGCCAGTTTCGTGGCATTTTGCTGGGGATGGCACACCATGAAAACCACCAGAGTCAGGTCGAACACAAACCTGGCCCAGGCAACACCGACAGCGACCGACAGCGACCGACAGCGACTGTCCTCTCGTCCATTGCCCAGTGAATTCATTGCCAATTTTGCAGCTGCGGTAGACGTAAGGGAACGATCATATGTCGCATAAATACAAGATTTTGGAAGTATCCTCCTTCTGTGACTTAGTTACAGATATGCCATCCTTCCACCACAAATAATGCCACGTCCATAATCGTACATATCTTCCGGCATGAGCATCCACGGCATTTAAGGACAAATCACGGCTTGCAAATGGGTAAACACACTAACCCTTGAAATCCTGCGATGCTTGGCTTGATTGATTTCCTGAATCTCCATGCCCAGCTATTGGTTGGCTAGCCATCTTAGGTGCATGATCAGTTGCATTTTCTGCCCCTATTCTACAAATAATTATACGGCCAGGACTGGGATGCTGCCCGGCGAAGTGGATGTTAACTGCGCAGGGCCAGTGGTTTATGTTTTTTTGGGATGTCGGCCGAATGGCTGACGACATTTGTTTCCAAAACACAAAACCCTAAAATCTTAGCTAAATCTGACATGAAACCCAAAGTAAGCCTTGACAGTAAAATCAAAAAAACAACACCTAAAGAATATTGGTCCCATGATAAACCTCTGGGCGGCGCCGCATGTAACAAATTACCCTTCTGCAAAAAGCGAGGCGGTTGCGCCATGCATCGATGAAGCAGTAGCGATACTTCTTAAAGGCCAAAAAGCGGATAAACACCTGGCAAAGTGAGGCTTCAGAGGATGTCCTTTGGGTGGGCCGGTATTTGGATAGTGGGATCCCCTCAAATATTTGGGGATAATGTGGAATAATCTGATTTCATGTTTTGGAATTCATCTTTTTGGGAATCTTTTGGACATGTCTTAAGAGGTGACCCCCAGCTCATGCTCTATGATAATCAATGAGAATTCCCAATGTGTGAGGGGTAGTAGAACCCACAAACTAATCATCAGCCAACGGGGGTTCAGCAGCCACTGCTCAAATGTTTTTTGGTTTGCCCGAAGGACCCATGGATTCCTGGTTGAAAACTCCGCTGGAATGAAGCTATCACCGAGAAGTGGGGGTGGCAAATGGGGGTCAGCACATGTCAGCACCATCATTGAATCATTCGCAATTCCTTATAACAGGTATTAAGCGCTATTCATGCGGGGGCAACTGGGATAAACATCCCGAATTTCATCCGAAAACAAGTCATGTCTTGAGATGGTTCATAGAACACAAATGGGCGGGATATTGTTTGTTTTTCCGGTCAGCAAAGACCAACGGCATCCAATGATTCTTGTGCCTTCCTCATCATGCCATCAGCGATGTCTTGTGATCTTGTTAGCCCATTCATCCCCCCGAAAGGTTGGGTCACAAATGCAGTAGACACCTTGCGTTGGAATGTTCGGAATGACCAGTCTTAATCCACAGAGCACACCTTGCTAAACGCATCTAAACGCATGAGCAACCCCAGGGGGTGCATTCCTGCACCCGTACCTCCGAAGTGAAGTACACGCAGAAGATGTTCTCCACAATGATGCTATAAGGCTCCAACGGTAAACTGTCCAAGGTGGCGCTGGCTACCCGGATGCAGCTAGCCCTGTGATTTTATTCAAACAGATCTGGTTGATGTTGATGGATGTTGATGGTACTTACCGGACTGTTCCGAGTGAAACGAACTAGTCAGTTGAGTCAGTTGGAGTTTCTTTTTGGATGCAAAACCAGTGCCAATACCGGAAGCCCACCTGCTTACCTGTTCTTCAGCTGATCGGCACAGGTCAAAATCATTCAAAATCCGTGTCCCCAACATGCTCAACGCTGCCGCGCCTCCCATCGGCCAATTTCAAGGCTGTATGGTTCCACTGAACATCCACGAAAATCCTACGAAGTCTGTGCACTAGCCGCGGAAAACGGAAATGGGGCTGCAAGGCATGGGAGGGTTGCACAACCAACATTTCATGGAGTCATAAACCAATATTGATATCAGGAGTGCGACTGTATGACAAAAAAGGTTAAATTACAACCAACTGTCAAACTGGAATGTCACATATGAACATTGGGGCATGATCAACCAATAAGTTCACACAACCCAGGAACACAGCATGACCCTAGCGCCTCTGAAGTGCCTAGGTGCTTGAAACATCTTGAGTGGTGAGATGGAGAACATTCGTAATTAATCTGACATTCTCCCCCCAATTAGAAAAGAACTACATTTCCTATGCCGCTGGAAATGTTGAGGTAGAGGTCTATGAGCACCCACCAGTCAGTCCAGAAGGCGTTCAGCACGATGACAAAGAGAGTCACGTGCTGGAACCGCTCATTGTTCCTCAGTCTATCCAGCAATCACACAAAGGACAACAGAACTGCACAAATGGGGTGTTGGTACCGTATGGAAGGATTTTGACAAGTATTTGTATTTGTATGTAGAAATGTACTTCAAATGTATCATGTTCATATCTGTACATGGTACCATGTCGTGACATGATTGTATCATGGCATGGATATGTTGCAAGCAGAGTAGTTTTGGTATGGCCATTTCATTGGGAAAATCCGAACAAAAATCCTGTGGATGGGCCGTTGCGAAATCCGAAGCGCCAGTTACGAACACGGTGGTGTTTATCATGTTGATCCCGCTATTTTGTTTGGGTTTCAACCATCCTGGAATGGTGATGCAGGATTTCGCAGCCATCCACTGTATGTTAAATCATTAAACATTAATAACCATTATTTATAAGCACTATTAACCATTATTAAACATTAATAACCATTATTGAACATTAATAACCACTATTAACCACTATTAACCATTATTAAACATTAATAACCATTATTAACCACTAAGAACCATTATTCTCCTCCCCAAGGACCTGAGGATGTCAGCAGCTCACAACCATCCATCACCGAAATTTCGCCGGCACCCTGCAGCAGTCAAAGTGGCGCGATCCGACCGAAGAAGCCGTTGCCAATTCTCTTGTTCTTAGAGTCCTGGATCGTGGCAACTGGAACCCGAAGCCCAAACTGGGATTGTTACTATCACTGGATTGGTTGAAGGGAAAATCTACAGGAAACCATGGGAAAAGCCCTAATGATATATATATAGGGGTATCCTGTAAATGTTCAACCATGTTCAACCAATCCAGTGACACTTTCAATTTTCAGGATCAAGCCACGGCTATCTGGATAACAAGCCCGGCTAGTTCCGAATTGATCCCTCACTGGGATGATCCTCCATGGGAGGCAACAGGAATCAATGGCATGTGATGACACCATTTCTGGTGACAAATTGTCAATGTCAGTGCAATCTATATGTACTACTGGTACATTGTAATACAATCAACAGTATTTCCTAGCAACAAGTATATAAATATATATATATATATATGTATGTACATATCTTACATTATAATACATTATAGTACTATATTGTAATATTATATATATAATATATATATAGTTATATTAAATCTTGCTGCAACATTTCTCAAAGTTTGACATTTCAGAAACTCCTCCAACATGGTGACTGATGTCCTCGGCGAAGGTTTGTTTCAGAATGAGCGAAGGTCATGGTGACTGGGTGCATAACTGAAGGGCCACTGGGCCACTGGGCAAGCTTCAAATTCAACAAAACTCATCAAAACTCGAAAAACAACTCGAAAAGGGCGTGTTGAACAATTTCATCAGTTTCCAATCCGAGACATACATGGCAAAAATTGGACTTTCCTAGATCTGTATGCCATTTTTGGACTTGGTTGAACATGACCTGATGGTCCAGGTTGGGACACATCCCTTCGACCTGGTCGACCACATTTATGGATTTTATGGGTGGTTAAGGTGTCACATCTCGTGACCCCAAAATCATCCAAATAAAAATCCCATAGGATCCATGTATGCCATATATGGTAACATTTACCATCAATATACCTACAATGTTAGCATATATACCATACATGGATCCTATGGGAATGGGTCATCAAATAGGGAAATCGCTGGTGTTGTGGGTCATTTCCGTCGGTGGAACAAGTCAAAATTGATAACCCACGGAGCTGATGCTTCAAATGGTAGTTTAATATAGCCATGGAAACTCTCCATTCTTGATAGCTACATCATCGAACTAAATTGGCAATCTTTCATAGCTATGTCGAATTGCCAAAGGCTAAATCCATTTGATTCTAAATTTATAGATGGCAATATATATATATTAGATGGTAATGGTAACATAAATATAAATTCATATTCTCTTATTCTATATCCTTATGGATTATAATGATTTATATTAGTGTAAACTTATTTTCATCCCATTTATAGATGACGTATTTATATTATTAAAAGTATTTAAAAGTAACCAAAGGGTATTATAACATGACTATACTTTTAATAGTGGTTTTCTATTTATAGACGGTAATCCATAAAATAATCAATTGGGGTATGTCCCTCCAGCCAGATCCCTTCCGAGGAGCCGGAGAGTCGCTCCATTTGCCTCGACCCGAAAAAAAGGCTGGTGCCCTGTAGATCTTGGACCATCAAAGGAGAACATATATGGAAAATCTATGGAAAATCTATGGAAAATGTATGGACATATATGAAAAATGTATGGACCACATTTGGAAAACTATTAAACATTCTCTTTCAGGGAGTCATTTTCACCTTCAATGGTTGTTTCATCTATGCTTGGAGTAGGGCCCACCAAGCATTTTTCCGAGTCACCTCTCCGCATGTCATCTCCGAGTCATCACTATAGCATGGAAAACTGTCTGGGTCACGTCAAACCTATAAAAGGCGGGTTGCTGCATTCAACCCCTTCATAACATATCAATCAGTTATATCAAGTTCTTCCTCACATTCCAAGGTACGACTGTTGGGAAGTTGTATCCTATGATATTCCCATACAATTGTAGGTTCTGTCCCCATGATATTCTCATCTACGGTATCACCCCCCCAAAAAAAATATCCCCAGTTTTATGACCATCATATCATTACATCCCCATAAAATGATTGGTTTTGATGGTAAACTTTAAATACAATGGCTGGTTCAGTTCAAGATCTTTGAATCAAATTCACCAGTCATCACCAGTCAACCCAATGAATCCCCAATCCCCATTATGGATGGTCATATTCCCATCAAATCCCTGTGGAACCAGCACCTTCGGTTCCATCCCGGAGCCATCACTGGCAGTGCCTGCGAATCCATGAGGTATCCATATCACTGGATTGGTTTAAGGGGAAAAAAAATACGGGAAAACCCCATATTTAACGGGAAACTTTATGGTGTCCTGTAGATTTTCCCTTAAACCAATCCATTGACCACAGTTAGGGAAGGTTCAATTTAACTATGGAGAGGAAGCCATGGATAGTTAGAAGGAATGGTTATGGATAATTATAACTTATATGAACAATAGTTATAACTTATATTCCCTATGGAAGCCGTGGCCCTGAACAAAAGGGAATATCAATAGTTCGTTTTCCAGCTACTTATAGTATAGTAGTGCGCAAGTTACCTAGTATAAGTATAGATGATAAACATGATGATATTAGTGGACGATTATGATGGATAACCAACTAAAATGGGATTTAATGGGATATGCATGAATCGGAAAAAAATGAATGAAGTATAGTAACCCCATAAACAGATTCAGAAAAGGTGCGACTTTCGACTCCTACTGCAATCATTGTTGTTTCGATTTCTTTTTGGTTGCTAAAAGTGAAGAAGTACGAAACTAATTACACTCCACCAACCAAATTATATCAAGCAATCAGTCAGTACCAAGCCTGACGCTTGTGGCACCAGCGGAAGTGCGTCATCCATACCTCGCATCGTGCCACAGCTTGGGGCTGGAGAAGGATCCGCTGGAGATCCAGAGTCCATCACAGTTCATCACCGACCCATCCCGAGCCATGGGGAAAAAAGGTGAAACATGACCTGGATTTGGAGAACATGATTTTCCCGACCTTTGCTGCCCCTGAAATGAACTGCTGAAAAAGTCATGTCGTGTATTGGGTACGTGCATGCTAATGGCTGTAATGCCTGCCAAAGATCTAAAGTTATGACGTTCCCTTGATGAAAAAGTTCAGACTTCGCATCCACGGGATGCGATGGACAGATGATGACCTTCCCAGTCCAAATAGCAACATCTCCAAAAATGTCAACCTCATATCAAAAAACCCTAGGCCCTAGTTGTTTTTAATGTTTTTTCTCCAAATCCAATGGTGTACCACATCTTTTTCTTGTTATGCGGCTATCTGAGGGGTATAAACCAATTCCAAAGACACCCATTGGATTCATTGCGGGGTTAACCTCTAAGAAGTGATCAATTTTTTGCTCCAAGTACTTCCAAAGGGTAAGAATCGACATGATTCAGATGCCGTTCCAAAATTATCCAACTAGTTGACACCGATTTGAGGTATACCATGCACAGTAAAGAGGTACAAAATGGAACAAAGCAGTTTGACCGCATGAAGCAATACCCTCCAATAGCAATGGAAATATCCGTGAACATCCACCGTTCACCAACAATTTCCCCTGGGAAACCAGGGATTGTCCACACCCGCCTCCGTGTTCGGCGGCCCCGGCGTGCCCCGTTGTGCCCCGTTGCAGGTGAATCTCTTGTTGTGATTAGCTATTAGGGTATTGCCATGTGACAATCGACAACAGCTGTAGCAATCTTTACTGGTGAAGAGTCAGGGTCATGGCGACTTGGAAAAATGTGGATCTGGGTATCGGCTTTAGGCTCTAAAGATCTAAATGCTATTCTGATCTGTCTGTCTGCACATTCTTTTTACGAGGATATATCCTTCCACCAGTCAACTCATGAGAAATAAACCCAGAAAGTTGGAGAGGTGAGACCTAATCCAGTCATGGAAAAAATGTGTAGCTTGGGACCATTTTCATCCATTTTCGGCATTCAAACTCTGCGTTTCCTGCAAACCAAAGTTGCCGCATTTTGTTGGGCGACTCGAAAGGGATACGTGGTGAACCTCCTTTCTGGTGGGCAGTAGTGGTCACCTGGTCAACCATTCTGGACGCGATGGCCACTTCTGATACAAGTCCTACACGACCGATATTTTTTTTTCGCAACCGGGTCACATGTCAGCCATTTATCACGAAATATGAAAACACATAGAGGTTCCAAATGGAGGTTTCCTAGAATATGGGTACCCTCTGGTAATTTAAGATAACGGAAAATCACCATTGAAATAGTGGATTTTCCCATGAATAGCATGGTGGATCTTTCCATAGTTATCTTAGTTTACCAGAGGGTAGCCCAAACCAGTGGTTTCCCGTTCCAATATCTTCCAAGGCTGTTGCACCAAGCCGACATGTCGAAGTCCCTGTCCCTCGCAGCGGGGGCAACTGACCCTGATGTCCGCAAAGCCGGGCCTGGACTGCGCCAGAAGACGCTGGGGTTATAGACTCCCAACGGATCAAAACAAAGCATTTGCTGCTTTGTTCATACAGTAGTTGCTACTTAGCCATAATTACTTATATAGTCATATATAGTCAATGCTCCAAAGGGAAAGGTTTTAGACTAGACTGAGAAGATTCCAGTGAGGTGAGTTCCACTGTTCAGAAATAGATCTCTCCGACCAGCTGGTGCATCATTAGAACACAAAGGTCTCAAGGGACTGCGAGGTGCAAACCCCCAAAACAAGGTCATACAAGGTCTAAATCACCCACTATTCACAAGTGTAACAGTGTAACATCAATAGCACGCTAAACTTTGATGGCATGTCACATCAGACTGTGCTTGGACATCTGCATCATACAGATATAAAATACACCCTGTGCACCATGCTGGGGACCCCGACAACTGTTTAAAATTTGCATTGATGTCGGTGTGAACAGCCTTGGATGGCCACTAATGCTCATATCAGCAAAAGCACTGAACCAGAGCAATCAGAAAAGAACTGTTTTCCAGTCGTCTCATATCGTCTCATTCAGTTTTCACTTGCAGGACTTGCAGGTTTCATCAAATTTTGGGATCGGGAAACCTGGGAACCTTGGAACCACCATCCAACTGATGACCCAACCCCGCCAAGCCCTGCCTCGAAGTAAACGCAAAGCCTCAGAGCAAGCTGCGCCCGCTGCAACATCCAGCTCTTTGGCAGCCAACAAGGCTTTATGGATTCATGGATGGGGCCCCATGGGGGTTCCTTCTGCCACACATGAATAGATAAAAAACACAACCCTCATGTCGGAGTGGGATCTGTCCTCACGTGAAACATCTAAGATGTTCCGGTCTCAGATTATGACAGAATCAATTCCAGCAGAAGCAAGACAGGCGACTGCTGGATCATGATCGGTCTCCGTGTATCAACGCGTAAAAAGAAAACTCTAGCTTGGCCTTTTTCAGCCGCCTTCATACATCGGAGAGGGGTTGTAGTTGAAACATTTTGGAAGTGGCTCTGAAAATAGGGTACCCCTCTATTGGTTGATTACCACTTATATATAGCCATTGATTCGTGTGAATATGTGTGACTCCCCACTTTCAGACACACCCCAGTCATGGCCAGTACAATCCTCAAACCTTCGAATCGCCAGCATTGTCATTCTCCTCTATGCCATCCCAACCACTTTCCCAAGCAGCGTCAAGAGACATAGTAATGACATGTCATGACAATACACAATCATAGCGTAACAAAGATGTATCATCATTTATGTAGCATCATCTATATACTTTATCATCATCATCCTTATCCTCTTTCTGCTCCTCATCGTCACCCTAATCATAATAATGATAACCGTGATAATAATGATAATCATGATAATCATGACAATGATCTGATAATCATGATAGTCATTATCATCATGATCATAATCAGCAGCAGCAGCGCTGAATCTGACATAGAAGGCATTTTCCAGAACGTGTGTATTGAGGATCACGCAAGGAACCACCTAATGAGTTTTGCATTTTGTTCTGGGCAAATGATGCAGCAACCAGATTGTTCGTAGCACGAAAGGGTAACACACTCAAAGCTTCATCCCTGCCTACTCTTCCATAAAATCTATCATTATCATTGTCATTCATTGATATCATATAATCATATAATCAAAGGCATTGTAGTGAATGTACACGCAACATGTATAGTTTTACATGTTGGAAATAAACAAAAAAACATATCTGAGACCTCACATCCATCCATCTCCCCGCTTCCCCAATAACAAGTGCTGGCGTTTTCCACCGCTTTTCCACCGTGAGACCCATCTTCCAACGCGGCGATCTTCGCCAAGTACGGTTTCAAGGCCTGTTTTTTGAACAGAGCTGCGGTGTAGGAGGGGTGCATGGGGCTATAAGCAACAAATAACCATGGGATATAAATGAGGTTGTTGGGCCATGGGATATAAATGGGGTTGTTGGGTGCATCATTGGGATGTAAATATACAGATTAATATGCAGATAATTATACTTATAATTATAATCTGGATATATTTATGGGTATATTTATACTTATAATGAGGCTATAATCTGCATATAAATACAATAATTTACTCCACTGATAAGTTTCAGCCAGTTACATCAATCCTAACCATCATTCTAGTGACGTCGCATTTCCTGGTGAAAGTCGGGATTGTGAGTTCATAATGGTTCATAGATAGTAATGAGATTGAATCTTCACAATATTGGGTAGTATAAGAGCCCCTACAATCATCAAAGAAGTAGTATGTTTTTTCGAAGTTGCTAATGTTATTGTGATATTACATGGCTATGAACTGGATACCGACAACTCTCACAGTGACGTCTACGGCGGAAAAAACAAAGAACTCTGTGGAACAGAAATTGTTGGCTATGACGTCAAGAAGGATAGGTATTGCTATGATAATCACCGATCTTCCAACATCAGAAAACTCAAAACAGAAATGATCACCTCAAAACATCAACAGTCCAATTCTAGTTGTAATAATCTCCTGTAATAATCACCTGTAATAATCACCTGTAATAATCACCAATAATTAACCCAGGTAGTACATAACTTCCTATATTAACCAATCAATGGCAGGTACCTCGAAGAAGCGCTCGTCGGCTTCGATGAAGTCTAAACCACACCACGTGCCCTTTTCCTGGCCGGGCCGGGCATAGCGGTGCTGAAGAAAAGGTGGGGGAAAACCATGGAAAACCCATGGAAAATGTGAGTTGAACCTAAATGGGAGCAGCAACTTCTTTGATGTTCGTGAATGGGTCTGAGAATGTTGGTAAAAGCCATAAACCCAAAATCATCCAAAATCCGATTCTCATCATTTTTCCCTATTGAATAGCCATGAAATGGAGTAGTATATACCAGTATCCTCCGTTTTTGTAGAAATCCTTCCACTTAGGCTTCGCAAGTCCACTTCTCAGGGGAGCGTGACCACCTCCAAAGTACAAAGACTGATAACTCACAATGAGAAAGGACAATATGGGTTTGTCTGAAAATAGTGTACCCCTACACCCAATGGTTAATGATCATTATCCCTACTAAATGGCTATAATTGGGGGTATACCGGTATACCCCATTTTCAGACATACCCATATGTGTCAATTGGACATGCAACAAACATGGCTTTAGGAGATTTCCATGATTTCCGGCTAGAGCTGTGAAACAGCTTCCAGACATCAACCGCAACATCCCACGTCACGTGAATGGTGTAGTTTTAAGTCAACAAAAAAACCTATCAATCGGGATATAAGTCAATAAGATCCCAAAAAGTGGTATCTTCATGCAGTTGCCAAACACCCAGTTTCAACCTTGGCCTCTCAAGCTAAATGCCAACAGCGTCGATTATCCCGCTGGAGTCCAGTGGAGTGATTCAAACTCCAAAGATCTCCATGCTGGGAATGCCAACAGAAAACACATCGAAGTACCCAGGTCTGCCAACCAACGGTTGTCACCTCATGTCACAACTCTTCAGGCCACCTCATCGCACCAAGCCAAGAGCCGCAAACCATATCTCTGTGATGGATCCGTCCCTCGTTTCTTCCTGGATGTTGGGCCGAAACAACACATGGGGCTGGGATACTTTCCGAGGGAACGGTGAAAAAGGAGGAGTTTGGCAGTTTCTTGCGAGGTCAACCACATGACTCAATCATCATCAGGCGTCCGACAACATTTCTGGCATTTTAGTGACTCAAAATGAATCAAATGTGGCAATCTTGTCAACTATAACGCACAGCTGGATGCCACTAGTGCAGCGGTCATTATCTTCCCATCCTGCCCTTCGAAAGAAAGATCTCAAAACTGATCAAAAACAACAACCAATTCAATGTCGTTTCTCTCATAAGTAGTTTCTTGTCTAAACTGTCCTCTCAGTTGAGGGGTTTTCTTTGTTTTGATTCCAACAAAGACAGTTTGGAAGTTGTGAAATTTGATCATCCAAGAAATCTGCAGGATCGCAGTCATCCATTTCTTACAGCATTCAACTCGCCAACTCGCCCAGTTGGATTTAGGCCCAATCATCGGGCAGGAAAAAACCTGTTTGATGGCTGAGCAACCAACATCAACTAACCCCTCTGAAGGAGCTTTTTGTGTGCTGCGCCCAAAAAAAGGTTAGCAAAAACCAATCTGGTGAGGGAAAACAAGGTTCCTCAAAACAACGATCAGCAACTAGTCAGGTCAGGATATAAGTCAT